TTTTTTTGGATTTCAAAATATTTTTTTGGATTTGCAAAATATTTTCGCATTTTGAAAAAATTTTTTTGGATTTCTAAATATTTTTTTGGATTTGCAAAATATCTTTGGATTTGTCAAACTTTTCGACAGTGAGTTTAAAATAAATATCGCGATTTGAAATATTTTTCGGGATTTGAAAAATATTTTTGGATGGTCCCTTTTCGGCTTCCGTAACGCTACGCGCCTCATTGGCTATCTATCATCTCATATCCAATGCGCGCTCGTGGAATAATTGCTATTAAGTATACGACAAGTTACCCCTCTCTCCCCCATCTCCCTCTCCCCCAGAATTTGAATGGCTTCCATAATGGTTTATCAGTTCCAACATACACTCCTATGTGAAGAAAACTGATGGAAGTATACAGTATCTTAATTGTCTGAAAATAAAATATAGTGACCTAACTGGGTCTCAACCCCGCACTGCTGATCTGGTAGCCAGTGGGCCAATCAATGACCACTGCAACTTCCTGTCTCAGACAAGGAAGAAAATTCATTTGAAATCCAGAGGATACTGACCTCGTATGACAGATTAAAGGTTCCCCAATGAATACCAAGTGAGAAGTTTGATTGGACATCTTCGTGTATCTCTACTGCTGCTTGAGGATCAACATGTTGGAACTGCATAAACCCTCTTTTAAGAAAGTAAAATTAAACGTTTAACTTTCAACATTAATAATCAGGCAAAACTTAGTAGATAAGATTATTCAGAACAAACAATTCAGTACTGTAAGTCAAGTGTCACTGGTGATAATTTAATTTAATAATAAGTTCTTATATAGCACATTAAAAACACTGATTTTTTAGAATCTTTGCAAATTAAAGGGCTTTTCTTAGAATGATTCCCATAAATTAATGTGAGCAGTGCTATTTTCCATGTCCCCTCAGCTGTTTAAGACCTGAACCAAAAGTTTTACACAAGCCACACTGCAGAGGAATGTCACACTTATAAAGGTTTCTCACTTACCAACACCAATGCAGATTAACATATGCATCAAGATTGCAGAAAAAATTAAAAAAAATCTGCACTGCAGAAGCCCAAGGTAAGAGGACATAGTGTCCTATAGTGAGCAGGGGTTTTGCCCTTCCTCAAGATAAATAAGCATTTTGAAGGTTTTCTTCCATACCTTGGGGCATATGCTCCAATAGGTATGGCTGCCAGATCAAATGGACCATAACGCTTGCCTATTTGTTTAAAGATGGGACAGTAACCTGTGTCACCAGCAAAGAAAAATCTGTGTTGTGGACCAAGGATTGACCAGCTTCCCCAAAGAACCTTGTTGTTGTCGTTTATTCCTCTGCGACACCAATGTTGTGCTGGAGTAAAAGCAAACTTCACTGCTTTGTCCTGATCAGTGAATTTTGGATGAGAGTGTTCGTCCCACCACTGAAGTTCAACAACATTTTTACAGCCACAGTCTGACATCCATTTATGAAGCCCCATTGGCACATACCAATGGATTTTATTCCCAAACCTCTTGTTGAGATCACAGACAGTTGTGTGATCAAGATGATCGTAATGGTTATGGCTGATACAAACTGCATCAATGTCTGGAAGCTCATCAACAGTGCAAGGGAGGGGACGATATCGTTTTACCCCAATCATACGGGCCATTCCACAGTAGCTGTTAAAGACTGGGTCTGTGAGAATATTGAGGCCATCCATCTGTACCAGGACAGTTGCATGACCAATCCAGGTGACCTGCACATCATTGGGTGGAGGAGAATCTAAAGCAGCTCTGTCTGGAGTCAGAACTGGGAGATTTGTGTTTAATTCCTAAAAGGAATAGGGCAAATTATGTCTTAAACATGGCATTTAGAGGCAAGGTAGGACGGTGAGTTTGATCTTAAGCCACTACCTTCTCTCATCCAGAGCTCGAGAGAGGCAAAAAAAAGAGAAAAAGAGACGTAAAGTTGCAAAGATGCAATTCAGTTTTTTAACTGCAATGTTTTTCTTAATAAATACAGTCTTTTTCTTTCTTTTCTAACTTTTTTTTCTTTACGACACTAATGGTAACCGGCTAGCCACAGATTGGTAGGAATTCAGTTTTGGCTAGTGGTTTTTGGTTTCCACCGCCCAGTTTGGCTAGCAAACAAACCAAAATTGTTGTAACATCTAAGTTATCACCAGCCACTATAGGTTAGTGAGTTGGAAAGTTAGCGTTGAGCTTTGTCATCAGTGACTGTTTCAGTCATCTAACAATTGTCTCTGGAGAAAAAATTAGCTTCAAGTGAAAAGAGCGAGAAAATTCACCTCATTGTCATAATTTTACAAGCCTGAAACCAAGAAACCTGGTAAACCACTTCTATTTGTTGAAGTCATGAACCATTTCAGCGCAGTTAGTCCTGACGGATTTGTTCCTCCCCAAGGTAGTTTAAAAATTCCATTTTCTCTTATAGCTTTAGGGTAGTCGGTATTTTCTGCAATCTTGTCATCTTGTTTTTCTAACCGTGAGCCCATATTTTGAAGCTGTTCAAACGAGAAATAAAAATTAACTGAGGATGAGCTAGAAACTTTCATGGAGTGAGCACCCCTTCTTCCTTAGAGGGAACCATAAAAAGGCACCTTTTCTGATGTCAGAAGGTAACACACGATCTTACAATAACGATAATTTTAAGATTATAAGTGGTTCACAATACAAAACGTAAGAGATATGTGGCCTGAGACCGTGCATGATTATGTACTAGTAAAAAGAGTTATTGAGCTAGGAGACTGAATATGAAATTATTTCAATGTTGTCCACCAGCTTTGCTGATTATATTTACTCTCTTTGTAAAAACCTGTGAAACCCACTTTTCATGTAAAATCAAAATCAAAAAATGGTTTGAACAGAAAAGACAAGGAAACTAGAGCCAGAGAGATGATTCACATGTTTTTAAAGTTTATAAGAACAAAAAACGATGACAAAAAAAATTAATACACAGTTACCTTTATCGACCGAATTCTACAAAGCTCTGCATCCAAAGATCTACCAAACCAAACCCTGTGTAAATGAAACTGGAAGAGAATTCGACATAGGCGTAGATCCTGCTTCGTTCAACACTTCCGCTTTCCACTTAAGCCCTGTACAGCTGACTCCGAAATCTAATTCTACCTGAGCATGCACTTGAGAAGTAACGTCTCAGCACGCAGATGTTTTTCAAGCATGCTTTGCGCGCATAGTAATCTTCCCGCGCCCTTCACGCCAATGTTTTTCCTGTTTTCGAGGCAGGAATATCCTGGTGTAGCAGGGGTTTAGAAGTTACTGTTTAAATGTTTGGAGAATTCCAATATTTTTACTATAGTTCTGGTAGAAATGTGAGATATTTCCATCGTGAAATTGTTATGCGGATCGGGAAGGCGAATTCATCTACAATAAGTTACAGGCTTCTCGCCAATGAAAATGATTTGATTGGCTGATATTTCGATTATTTTTGGTAACTTCCATCAACTTCCGCATCACGTTTTCTCTTAATTTGGCTTAATTGAGGTCAATTCATGAGCTCCCCAGCACGTAAGGCAAAATTTTGCAGATCTCTTAGTTCTATGTAAATTTTCCAGTTTTCACTTTTTTGATGATACATGTCTATTACAATAGGAATCTTGCACATATCTTAACCATTTAACTTCCATGAGTGACCAAGAAAGATTTCTCCTTACAACATCGAGCACACAAGTGATGAGTATAAAGAAAATTATTAAAAACTGGATCATTGGATAATGCTATTCAACACTTTTTATTGGCTAAGCCATTATGGCATATGAGCCAATATACCAAAATCTGATATCTTTACATTGTAACATCCGGTTTCTTCTTACAAAATAAAGTCAAGAAGATTTGCCCAATGTCTTGGGGGCGTTTTTTTTTATAATAAAACAATCATTCCACTCGCACTTGTTGGATATGAGATGATTATAGCCAACTTGGTGCCACCTGCCTTGTTGGCTATCTATCACCTCATATCCAACGCTCTCTCCTGGAATAATTGTTAAATATCAATTTGGGGATAATTACTTGATCTAATAACAAATTCTCCAAAATAAAATGATGAGAATTGTATAGCAGATAGTAAGGAGAATTACTGATGAGATATTGGGTGAGAAAGGGTTAAACATAATTAGAATGGTGAGCAAGGTAGAAAAAATGAATACTTTTTCTGTTTCTCCC